TTTCTCTGAGATAAGTGCCTACTCTTATGGGATGTGTGAGAGTCAAATGGGTTAATATATGTGAAGTGCTTAGAAAAGTGCCTGAGACCGAATAAGCCATTTTTATCCGCAACGATGTTAGCTCCGTAAGAAAAGGGATTTTTGTCTATTTTCTTCACTGCTCTAATTCCCGCACCTAATTCCAGCATGGTCCTTTGCTGTCAGCCCTTTGTTTCACTGGGTGACTCTTCAGTCATCCAAATGGTCCACAAGAAAGGTTTTCTTGTCCTTGTCGCTAAATGTCTACAGCTCAAAGGGGCTGCTATCACCCTAGCAGAGGCAGGTGCCTTCAGATAACTTTTTCTTCATTTTTCATTTTTTCTTTTCTGAAATTGTGGGCCCTTGATGTAGTCACTAACAATGGCTTTGCCTTATCTGGGATGCAAGATAACAAGGTCTCCCTAACCAACTTATGGAGACATGCATTGAAAGAGCCAACAAACTGGGATCCTAAGTTAACAGGGCTCTAAGCAACAAATTAATGGATGTTCCTCATTTCCCCCCAGTGCAACTATTTAATGGGAAAATGCAGCAACTCTGTTTGCATATGATTAGCAATACCAGTCATAACTTTATCTGTTCCACGGACTCTTTCAGAGCTTCAGAAATTTTTCCAAGGTTTTGTCGCAACTATCTTGTTTCGGCTGCTAGTCCCCTGCTATCTTCAAGGTGAATTTGATACATCGTCAAGCCCCGTGTCTGAGTCCACACACTGTAAGGAAACACAGTGTGGGACACGGCCAGGTGGACAGAAGGGCTTTGTAGTGGACAAGCAGTGGGTCGCCGACTTGATTAGCGCCACTCCTTCACCGCATGGCTGCACAGGGCAGACATGAATTTATAGCGGCCAACCTGGAGACACTGAGTAGAAGAGGCCACTGCAGGGTAGATATGGAGGAGGAGAAAATGCTTCAAGGAAACATTCTGTTTCACCCAGGAAAGAGTGGCAAATTTTCCAACCGCAGATTATTCTTGTTGATAAAGACTTTCAGAAATAAAATGCAAGTTTCTTGATCACAGAGCATTTATAATGGTTTCCGATGAATTTAGCCATCAGAAGACTGCAGCCTTTTAAACGAGATTCCATGTATCTGTCACTTTCAACTGCATTTGCCTCACCTGGTGATCCGGCTGGACTCTCAGACAACGAGGAGGAAGGTAATAAGCAGCCTTTCACACCCAAAGAGCTGGCTTTTCC